AGCCGAGCTCGGCTGCCTAAGTCCCGAAAAGAATCCGCGGTTGCGCGCTCCTCTCCGACCCGGAGCGCCAGTGCCCAGCACAGCTCCGCGTGGGGCGTCCTAGGGAGGTCGGGTCCCCAGGGCCCGAGGCTCCGCGGCCCACACCCTCCTGGGCGATTCTGAGGGCGCTGGCGATCGGAGCTCTCTGAGACTGTGCTCGGGCCTCTGTGCCCCAGGGCCGGGCGCCTGGCCTCCAGCTGAGGACCTCAAGCTGGGCTCGCTCCAGAGGATAAGGTGCGACCATGGTGGGCCAAAGCCCCAGCCCCTCTCAACACGACCTGGGAACTGCCGCCCTTCCTACCGATCAGCGGACTTCCAAAGACCTCATGTTCCTTCAGGTTACACTTAACCAAGTAACTAAAAACCCAAAGCGACGTGGTTTCTTACCCATTATTCCCACACTACTCAGCCAGGTCGCACTGTTCAGAAGGCCAGGCACAGACTGATCCCCAGCCCGAAGTTCTCCTTTGGGGGTACGATTGGAAATTCTTTTTACTTTCCCCCATTTTGGTCCACTTTTTAAAATCGTTGTGTACACTGTCTAAAATTGAACTCATTTCTGTCCTGAGAAAGCCACACCGCAGATACTGCTCCTCCAAACCCTGGACAGAATTCAACAGCCAACGAGAAGAGAAGCTGCCCCTGACAATATTCAACAATCGGCCATTGCCACCAAGAGACCGATGCAGCCGCTCTGCGGCCGGCCGGTCCCCACAGCACTGCCGGGACCCCGCGAGGACTGCGGCCACGCGTGACCCCCACTCTCAGCGCGTGGGCACACAGCAGCGGGGACGCGGGGCATCGTTTCATTTAGTTTATTAGACAAAAATATATGATTTAGACAAGGTCGCTGACGCGCTATTTACAATCTGAAATCACTCTATATACAGAAAGGAAAACAAAGGAGAGAAGACACCTCGCGCGGGGCATTTACCGGGTCGGGTCGCCAAGCCGAGCCGGGGGCGCGTGACCGCCGCGAGAGCAGCGGAGAGGCCGCACGGAAGAGCTGAGCCCCTTTCTGCAGAAAGCGAGGATGGGAATCGTTGCCGTCGTAGTTGCATCTGTCCTGTACACCAGCCTGGAGAATCTGTCCCAGTTCCTCCCGGGTCCCCTCCCTCCCCAGGGCCTCCCCCCTCCCCCCACGAAGT